TATGTATATATATATATATATATATATATATATATATATATATATGTATGTATGTATGTATACACTATGTATATTGGCAAAAGAATAATGTGTAAATTATATATATTTTTTTTTTTCTTGCATAATTCAGAACACAAACCCAGTGTCCTATATTGTAGTAAATATTATGTTCTCTAATGATTAATGTGATTTGTATCAAGTCATAATAAGCACCCAAGTTTTTATGATTCCCTCGTACTTCCAAAACACAGATAAACATTATCTACGCATGATAATGAAGAAACGGAGCCCTTTGGAAACAAAACAAAAAACCTGTCACTGCTGCATTCCTTAAAGACGTAAACACAATGGCTTAGAGCTGTTTGCTAGCTTCTTTTACTTAGAACATCCAAAGATAGGACATGTAAATGAGAGCTCACCTCAGCCAATCAGCATCCAGAATAGAAACTTCCTTATTTGAGGAGCCTCATAGGGGAAGACAAGCCTCAACGTGAAACTAAAAGTTTCTGCAAAAGGAATGTTTTCATCATGGAATTTGTAGAACTCATCATGTGATGGGGAAACTCCATTTATATCACAAGAGCATGCACAAACAAAAAGAAATGACGTTAGATGCAAAGAAAAACAGTGTTGCATACGTATGATTTGATGAGAATATGAAGAAGTGTGAGATTTAATTGTTGAGTAATTCATTTTGGGTTTAACTGACCTAATTTGGTGTCTCTGGAAAATAATGATGATTTAAGCATTCGTTTTTTAGCCTACATCATAATTTTGTTCAGTTGTTGATTTGATTTTGTTTATCGCTCTCATTTCTGAGTAACTTTGGATAAAAACATCTGCCAAATTAATAAATGTAATGTTCAATATGTTTTGTGCATTATTTTGTTATTCATTCCTTCATTTTCTTTGGTTTAGTCCCTTTATTTATTAAGGGTCACCACTGCGGAAGGAACCGACAACTTATCCAGTATATGTTTTACACAGTGGATACCCTTCCAGCTGCAACACATTACTGGAAAACACTCATACTCTCCCATTCACACACATACTCTACGGACAATTTGTTAATCCAATTCACTTATACCGCATGGCTTTGGACTTTGAACACAGGGAGAACATGCAAACTCCACACAGAAACGCCACTTGACCCAGCTGGGGCACGAACTAGTGACCTTCTTGCTGTGAGGCTGTAGTGCAAACCATCGAGCCCTCGTGCCACCCATTATTTTGGTATTAGTGATATATTTTCAGACTTGATGAGTAAAAAATATTGTTTCCATTTTAAGTAAAAAGTTAGACTAAGCACTGTAATATATAGCACAAATTAATTTACTAACTGAGGCCTACATATGGGCCTCATGATATCTTATAACTGGACAGAATGAACAAAATGTAAAAAAAAAAAAAGGATTATTCCACCAAATATTAGATTTCCAAACTCTTATGAAATAAAAAAAAATGGTATTTTGATGTTTAAAAAAATAATAAACTTTAAACACGTGAAAAAAAAATGCTTTAAATTAAACCTCTAAATGCTGACGGCATTTTTTTTGTTTTTTGTGGTTGTAGAATGAAACTAATATTAACATTGTGCTCAAACTCACACACACACAAAATAATATTTTTCCTGCTTAAGCTACTTATCAAAAAATGTGCTGAAACAACACAATTCTTGAGTTTATTGGGGGACAACTTAATTGTTTTATGTTTAATCCGCTTAATGTGAAAGGGACATTCTACCAAAAGCGTATATTTTCACTTAAAAAATGTGACAAGGCCTGACCTTTAAGCTTGTCCTTCTCAAACAATCATACAAAAACAAGTATAAAATCATGCAACGCATCCAAGATCACTGTCAGCTTGATGTCACAAATGATGTCACATGCATAGTCATTGCCTTACCAATTGAATGCAAATTTGACAGGACTAACAGAAACATGGGGACAATGGTCAAATAGCATTTATTTGTAGAATTTGTTTATAATTAATGTTTTTAATCAATTGTTTTAATCAATTTTAATAAATCAGGGAATGATAACAACTTGCTATTTCTTAAGTATTTTATTTTCCTAAATAACAGGAACAGGTTAAAGGCACCAATGACAGGGTTTGTACATTGGTAAAGTGTTTTAATTAAGAAAAACAATTTGACAATCAACAGATAAACTCACAGAAATCCACCATCAGTCCATTTTTTATTTTTTGGGGGGATTAAATACTATTTATTCACTGTTTTTATGTTTTTATTTCAATGACAGATAATGTACGTTTCTGGTAGAATGTCCCAAAAACTTTTAAGTTAATCATTTTGTGTTGAACGACAAAGAAAATGTGTGTAATCTAGCATTATTTACAGTGCATATAGCATCTAAATACGTTTTTAAGTGGTCTCTTAATTTTTTTTTCCCATAGCTGTAGCCTACATATCCATATGTCTGCATTGTCTAGGCTACAAAACAAGAAATTGTAATTAATTTAAAAGTAACTGGTGTTGTTATCGTACTCACAATGTACACAATGTACAGTACTGCTTATGCAAGTGCGTAAGGTGGTCATTTTATCAGTCTCATGGGATAACCTTCCTCCGACGATAAACAACACAACAGGTAGAAGAAGCCATGTATGTGACGTGGAACTCTCTCGTAGTGACGTCTCTGCTGCTACGCCACCCTATTTAAGCCCCGTAAATTCTATCTATAAATTCAGAGAAGCGCAGTCAGCGGCATTTAAAGGAACCAGCGCGTTTACTTCAGCTGAACACACCGGCGAACCTGTGACAGAAACTTGCTGAAATGGCGAAGAAAGGTAAGCTATTATCCCAACGTACTTGAATAAACGTTGTTCAACAATAAACATGTATAAAACAAGGTCTAATTTAACGACTTTCGATTCTTTCTCACAGAGCAAACCGCTGTAGTAGAGTGCGCGCAGCAGTTGCGAAACATTGGAGATCTGTTGAACTGGAAATATAAGTTACTGGAGCTCATAGTAACACTCCAGAAAATACAAATGGAGGGGAAGCGATGAGAAAAGACGTCTTTGAGAAGGGATCTGTACCTGCTATGTTACACTGATCCAATACGCATCCAACAACTGAAGAGGATCTGTTTCTGAAGGCGCGCGGCGAGTAGTGGCCGCCGCCAGCAACAACAACAACAACAACAACAAAAAGTCGAACTAGGAGTTTCTCCCAAGGTGAAATACTCGGATAGGATGGCTGCTGTGGACATAAAAACACCTAGGCCCATCTCTAGGCTGTTTTGAGCCGTGTTTATCTGCTTCTTTGAGGGATTGTGAACTTTGTCAACAGGAAGAAGCGAGTGCTTACAACCCACTGCACTTCCCAATTACTCAGGATCTCAATGAACTTTAAATGGGGATGGTGTGAAATAAATGCCCTGGTTTATGCTCCTAATATAATAAGGGAATATCTCTGATATCCAAGGACTGGAAACCGACATCATTCGATCAGTTGGAAAACTAATAGTCACAAAACAGGAGCTTAAATGAAAGTGAAAGTCCTTAAGGAAATTCAGCCATCTTAAAGCATGAAGTGGCCAGATACATTTTGGGTCCAGTTTTTTTTTTTTTGTGTGTGTGTGTGTGGTCTGAGAACCTATTTTCATTTTTGATAGGCCTAATTTTCAGTTATATCACATGAATATAGATTTTTTAAACGCATTTATGAATGTTTATTGAAGTCGCTTAATGTAGCTAAATGTATTGGGGTTCGTCTGGTTTTAAAATATAAAACGTATATGCTTCGCTTATTTAGTTTTTATTATAATATATGCTGTTTGTGACATGTAAATGGTTAATTGGTTGACCACCTGTAATGGTATCATGTGACCACAATGAAAATCTTTATGGTGTGGTTAATTTATGCTACCTTATGGTTTACTTTGGCTACTTTGAAACTTTCTGATGTATTTTATGATGTTTTCTGAATGTAATAAAAGAATTAGACAAAACAATCACCTTATTGTGTATCTTATGTATTTTTTTTCCATTAACTCTTTGATTTACAACATCTCGGAAACACACAGCACATTCCAATTTATGAATATGCAAATGATGGGAAACTTTTATGTGGTGGTGATGTTGGTTTCACATTCATTTCTTCAATGTAGGTCATAGCAAGAAATATTAAGAAAGAAAAAATGATTTCCTTAAAGATTTTACAACACAACCAGTGTAGTCTGACTCACAAACTGGCAACTGATTCCACTGAGAAAGTAATTATTATTTGACAAGCCAGTGTTTTGTACGAATTTTCTATATCTTGGAAAGCACAATCAGCTGAGTGGTCCTCTGCTTCAGCCTACTGGTTATAATTAGGGATGGGCAGTGTTTATGATTTATTTCAAATAACCTGCATATTTTAAATACAAAATAGTGTTCTGTCATTTGTATTTGACAACGTGGATGAAAATGGGTTAATAGTTAGTATCAAAATACTTTAATATTTTGTATTTTTAAGTTTGTAAGACGTCTACAAGATGACACCCTGAAAATGCACCTTCTGATTGGTGCTTTGGATGTTACTGACTTTTCAACAACTGATAAAATCTTGAGGAAAAGTGTATGATGTATGAATAATAGAAGTTTTGGATGGATTGCAGATGCCAAATGTTTGTTGTTAAATCGAACAAAATAAAAATAACTCCTTTGGCAATTCACACAATACTTCATTGGCTGTTTTAAATGGGTTAGATTTAATAGGCCTATTGATGAAAGGTTTGCAAAGAAGTAATTTGTAGTATTTTTAACATATAAAACACAGTATTTTATTTTGTATACCATTTGTATACTATTTTATGTATACATGGTGTGAATGCTGTATTTTGTACTTTATTTTGATACACATCAAATTTGGTTTTTTTCATTGTAACAGCGAGTGATGTCTGTTCGAAGTATAAATCTCAGAATGCCAACACATTTTCTGTAATCTGCCGTGAAGAAATTAAAAAGCTTACTTATCTTATATAAGCATACTTATGCACAAGCTGTGCATAAAAGGATTTTAAATAAATGATATATAGGTAAGAGAACGCTTCCAATTCCAATTCTCCTGTTTACACCAGTTTGAAGGTTTCACACATTTTGCTGTAAACACAGAAAACAAAACCGATTTCAAATATAATTTCCTGTTTATAGTAGTACCACAATACACATGGAGTAATAAACATTACATGTAAACGTCTGTTTTATGTAATTTATAAATGCTTAAATTTGAAACAAACCTGTAAGTGCTCTTCTCTAGTCCTAAAATGGACAAGTGGAAAATTTATTTTGAAATATTTTACAAAAGAAAGTTATAAATCTTTTTTTGTTAAAGAGATAGCTATCTCAATAATGCATTGCATGTTTAGAATTGTGACACACAAGCTTGCCTTTTTGAATGATCTATTATCTGAATTAGTGTATACTTGGTCAATAACATATTTTTATATACAACATATACCTCTCTCTCTCTCTCTCT